GGCGGGGGGGCAGTTGGGAGTGACCTGGATGGCAGGCGGAGGCAATTAGGGGTGATCAGGCTGGCAGGGGGGGCATTAGGGGCGATCAGGCAGGCAGGCAGGTGAGCAGTTAGGAGCCAGCAGTCCAGGATTGTGAGAGGGATGTCCAACTGCCGGTTTAGGCCTGATCCTCAGGATCCAAGGGGTCCCAGATTGGAGAGGGTGCAGGCTAGGCTGAGAGGACCCCACCCCCCACACAAATTTTGTGCACTGGGCTTCTAGTATCTACACTAATAAAAGACAAACATGCAAATTGAACCTACCTTCGCTAAGCCTTAAGCCACACCCACCAGCCAATCACTGGAGCAAGCAGGAGGCTTGGTTGCCCCAATGATGGAGGAAGCCAAGCTTCCCGCCTGCTGTGGTCCGGCTCTGAGCTCCACTCAAAGAAACAAAGTTTCAATGATAGAAAAAAAATAAACCCCAGATACCTGCTTTCAGCCAGCTGTGGCCACGGAGCTGGAGCGAGTAGGAGGCTGGGTTGCCCCTGGCGATGGAGGAAGCCAAGCTTCCCGCCTGCTGTGGTCCGGCTCTGAGCTCCACTCAAAGAAACAAAGTTTCAATGATAGAAAAAAAATAAACCCCAGATACCTGCTTTCAGCCAGCTGTGGCCACGGAGCTGGAGCGAGTAGGAGGCTGGGTTGCCCCTGGCGATGGAGGAAGCCAAGCTTCCCGCCTGCTGTGGTCCGGCTCTGAGCTCCACTCAAAGAAACAAAGTTTCAATGATAGAAAAAAAATAAACCCCAGATACCTGCTTTCAGCCAGCTGTGGCCACGGAGCTGGAGCGAGTAGGAGGCTGGGTTGCCCCTGGCGATGGAGGAAGCCAAGCTTCCCGCCTGCTGTGGTCCGGCTCTGAGCTCCACTCAAAGAAACAAAGTTTCAATGATAGAAAAAAAATAAACCCCAGATACCTGCTTTCAGCCAGCTGTGGCCACGGAGCTGGAGCGAGTAGGAGGCTGGGTTGCCCCTGGCGATGGAGGAAGCCAAGCTTCCCGCCTGCTGTGGTCCGGCTCTGAGCTCCACTCAAAGAAACAAAGTTTCAATGATAGAAAAAAAATAAACCCCAGATACCTGCTTTCAGCCAGCTGTGGCCACGGAGCTGGAGCGAGTAGGAGGCTGGGTTGCCCCTGGCGATGGAGGAAGCCAAGCTTCCCGCCTGCTGTGGTCCGGCTCTGAGCTCCACTCAAAGAAACAAAGTTTCAATGATAGAAAAAAAATAAACCCCAGATACCTGCTTTCAGCCAGCTGTGGCCACGGAGCTGGAGCGAGTAGGAGGCTGGGTTGCCCCTGGCGATGGAGGAAGCCAAGCTTCCCGCCTGCTGTGGTCCGGCTCTGAGCTCCACTCAAAGAAACAAAGTTTCAATGATAGAAAAAAAATAAACCCCAGATACCTGCTTTCAGCCAGCTGTGGCCACGGAGCTGGAGCGAGTAGGAGGCTGGGTTGCCCCTGGCGATGGAGGAAGCCAAGCTTCCCGCCTGCTGTGGTCCGGCTCTGAGCTCCACTCAAAGAAACAAAGTTTCAATGATAGAAAAAAAATAAACCCCAGATACCTGCTTTCAGCCAGCTGTGGCCACGGAGCTGGAGCGAGTAGGAGGCTGGGTTGCCCCTGGCGATGGAGGAAGCCAAGCTTCCCGCCTGCTGTGGTCCGGCTCTGAGCTCCACTCAAAGAAACAAAGTTTCAATGATAGAAAAAAAATAAACCCCAGATACCTGCTTTCAGCCAGCTGTGGCCACGGAGCTGGAGCGAGTAGGAGGCTGGGTTGCCCCTGGCGATGGAGGAAGCCAAGCTTCCCGCCTGCTGTGGTCCGGCTCTGAGCTCCACTCAAAGAAACAAAGTTTCAATGATAGAAAAAAAATAAACCCCAGATACCTGCTTTCAGCCAGCTGTGGCCACGGAGCTGGAGCGAGTAGGAGGCTGGGTTGCCCCTGGCGATGGAGGAAGCCAAGCTTCCCGCCTGCTGTGGTCCGGCTCTGAGCTCCACTCAAAGAAACAAAGTTTCAATGATAGAAAAAAAATAAACCCCAGATACCTGCTTTCAGCCAGCTGTGGCCACGGAGCTGGAGCGAGTAGGAGGCTGGGTTGCCCCTGGCGATGGAGGAAGCCAAGCTTCCCGCCTGCTGTGGTCCGGCTCTGAGCTCCACTCAAAGAAACAAAGTTTCAATGATAGAAAAAAAATAAACCCCAGATACCTGCTTTCAGCCAGCTGTGGCCACGGAGCTGGAGCGAGTAGGAGGCTGGGTTGCCCCTGGCGATGGAGGAAGCCAAGCTTCCCGCCTGCTGTGGTCCGGCTCTGAGCTCCACTCAAAGAAACAAAGTTTCAATGATAGAAAAAAAATAAACCCCAGATACCTGCTTTCAGCCAGCTGTGGCCACGGAGCTGGAGCGAGTAGGAGGCTGGGTTGCCCCTGGCGATGGAGGAAGCCAAGCTTCCCGCCTGCTGTGGTCCGGCTCTGAGCTCCACTCAAAGAAACAAAGTTTCAATGATAGAAAAAAAATAAACCCCAGATACCTGCTTTCAGCCAGCTGTGGCCACGGAGCTGGAGCGAGTAGGAGGCTGGGTTGCCCCTGGCGATGGAGGAAGCCAAGCTTCCCGCCTGCTGTGGTCCGGCTCTGAGCTCCACTCAAAGAAACAAAGTTTCAATGATAGAAAAAAAATAAACCCCAGATACCTGCTTTCAGCCAGCTGTGGCCACGGAGCTGGAGCGAGTAGGAGGCTGGGTTGCCCCTGGCGATGGAGGAAGCCAAGCTTCCCGCCTGCTGTGGTCCGGCTCTGAGCTCCACTCAAAGAAACAAAGTTTCAATGATAGAAAAAAAATAAACCCCAGATACCTGCTTTCAGCCAGCTGTGGCCACGGAGCTGGAGCGAGTAGGAGGCTGGGTTGCCCCTGGCGATGGAGGAAGCCAAGCTTCCCGCCTGCTGTGGTCCGGCTCTGAGCTCCACTCAAAGAAACAAAGTTTCAATGATAGAAAAAAAATAAACCCCAGATACCTGCTTTCAGCCAGCTGTGGCCACGGAGCTGGAGCGAGTAGGAGGCTGGGTTGCCCCTGGCGATGGAGGAAGCCAAGCTTCCCGCCTGCTGTGGTCCGGCTCTGAGCTCCACTCAAAGAAACAAAGTTTCAATGATAGAAAAAAAATAAACCCCAGATACCTGCTTTCAGCCAGCTGTGGCCACGGAGCTGGAGCGAGTAGGAGGCTGGGTTGCCCCTGGCGATGGAGGAAGCCAAGCTTCCCGCCTGCTGTGGTCCGGCTCTGAGCTCCACTCAAAGAAACAAAGTTTCAATGATAGAAAAAAAATAAACCCCAGATACCTGCTTTCAGCAGCCGAGGTCTCAGAGCTGGAGCCGAGCCTCAGAGCTAAAGCTGGCTCTCAGTTCCAGTGACAGCCATAGAAG